CCTTTTCGTCCATACGATTCCTCCAAAACCAGCTTTCCCGAAATTCTCCATGATTCCAATTTCAGCTTCCAATCTTCATCCCATTACCATTCTTCTTTCCAAGTAAAACTCTCAAACGTCTACGCAACAATCATCCATCATCATAACTTTATTCTTCTTTTCAAGTAAATCTAATTTACAACAAATTAAAGAAAGAGTTCCAGCAAAACTTGGATAGGCGAAGCAACGTTCCTATGTTGCACTATGATCTGGAAGTTTGAAGGAGAAGCGGCAGCGGTGGCACGTTCTTGCTCTGATAGTGGCTCACGTGGGGAAAGAAAGAAGCTGGAACGATGGTGTGTGGTGGCACTTCCAGTGCGGAGGGCGTCGCCGGTGATGATTTTGGCCGGCCAGAGAGAGCCACAGTTGGACTGGTTCGGTAGAGGCAAGGGTTGCCGTGGAAGGGAGTGAAGGAGAGAATATAAAGGAAAAAAAAATTACATATAAACTTAAACTGTGTTGAATTCTGCAGGTCTTCTTTCTGAATCATCCTCCCCCTACCCCTTCCTATTATTTTATTCCCTCTTCCAAACCTCAGTCCTCTAACATGAACAAGGGAAAATGGAGAATTTTTCTCAACCCCCCTCCCCAATAGCATTTTGGGGCCTGCCATCCCTACAGCCCACACCACGAACAAGAATTATAAGCTTAACTTTTAATGCCACGTAATAAAAAATTACATTGTCAGCATATCTTTCTTAACGGTATTGTCTCAATTTGACGGAAAGCCCCTATTTGATCCAATTTTACAAAAATAAAGATCCAATTGAGACGCCGAAAAAGAAGGAGATCTATTTGAAATTCTGGACAAAAATAGAGACTTTAGGAGACATTAAACCTTGAACTTAATATCATTCGGCTTATGTTCAGCTAGTGTTTAGCCTTCATTTGTTAGTGACCGTCCAGTCTCAGTCATGGCTCTACTCGGTTGCTAGGACTCAATTCTTCCTACCACCACTTCACTGTCCAACCGCTCGGTCTCGTTCATGCCTCACTTGGTCTCGGTCATGCCTTCCACCGCTCGGTCTTGGTCATCTTTTGTTATACAAAAATGCTTTTAAACTTAATACAACAAGGGTCTTCATATTCTTCACTTTGTAACATCATCAAAATCATTATCTTTAAGACACCAATGTTTGCACATTGGTAACATTTTGAATAAGTACAAAGTACACCAAAATAAAAAAAATAAGTTATTTTCATTTAGTATAGCGTTGAGCGGCCTTATGTGGCGTTGAGCGCGGCCAAACCCGAGAGCCATTGGGATTTAGGACATTGAGTGCCACCTGGGCATTGAACGCCACAAAGTTAGTGAGCTCTCTGACTTCTAAGCACTGAGCGATGGAATTGGACGCTCAACGATAGAATTAGGCGCTAATCGCCACTTTTCCACTACAAGTTTGGACCTCTTTTGGCCTAAATTTGTTGAGCGAGGTGTGTGGCTCGTTGGGCGACCAGTCTCTTCGTTAGGCGTCCTGATTCTGGTGATTCATGATTTTTTCCTTGCTTTTTTTCTTTGTTTCTTTTATCTGATTATTATGATCTATGTGTATCTTTTGAGGTTTATGAATACTTGTGAATGTTAATGATGAAAGTGTATTTGGTTTAAGTTGTGGTGAAAGGAATTCCATGAAGAAGATCATTGTGTTGTGTTTGTGTGTAATATATTGTTGTAGGAGCTTTGAAATGGAGAATGTTTCTGACACTCCAATATCCATCCAACCTTAAGTAGAGAGGGGTAGTTATGTCGTGAGTAGTAGTACGAGGTCCTTAGCCAAGGGTCAGTTTGACCATATGTGTATAACAAATTAACATTGTGTGGTAGTTTGGGTGGTATGGTGTTTTACCACACATGCACATGTCCCTAATAGTTTGACACCAATACATGTATTCAGATGGTCAAAGTTTAGAGTCTAAATATATGTATGTGAATCGGATAATAGAATTGTCATATTTTGAATTGATTGAATTGCATATATTGATTCTTTTATGAATTAGCTTGCCCTATTGATTGTGTTTTATTTGAATCTTTCTCTTTTGCAATAATTACTTGATTGATGTGAGCAAGGGAAGATATTTCAGTTGAACATGTGTTGGGTGTTGAAGATGCTAATGTCTAGATATCTAGAATAGTATTGATTGAATTTATGTGAATTTTAAAGAATTTTTAGTTTATGTTTAGATAATCTTATAAATAGAATATCTTGTATATAAAGTTTAAATTATAATTATATTTTAGATAATTATAATCCTACTATTTTCTTTTAACTTAATTAACCATGTTTATTGAATATGTAATAATTTCATAATAGTATTAAAACTATAAATTTAGGATGTTACAAGTAAATGTTTTAAAAGTAAATATAATTAATTATATAAATATAAATTATTAGTCAAATTTTCATATTGCAAATACAAGTAGATGTGTTTGGTCGAGATGATTGATTCAACACATATGGTGGTTTATCTTCTTCATCAACAATTATATGTAAAAATAATAATAGGTTAAAAGAATTATATATTAAAAAAATAGAACAAGACGTGATTTTTTTTAAAAGAAAAAAAAACACACTTGATTTACAAAAAGATTGTCGATGTATTTAAGTGAGAATTTAGTGATGCTTTTAAAAAAGTAATCACTAAAAAATATTTTTTAAACAATTAGTATATAAAATTGAGCTTGTTGTTTTAAATAAGATAACGGGGTAGAAATAAATAAGTTATGTACTCTTTTCCCATTCCTCGTGGTTCTTTTCCACTAAGCTTTTCTCGTAAGGATTTTAATGAGGCAGAAGATGAAAATGTTTTCAAGGATTTTTGTACTTTGTTTTTTCCGTCACTAGGTTAGACCTATTTTCCTCTCAAGGTTTTAACTACAGAGATGACATTTGAGAAAGAGAGAGTATCATGAAATAATTATTATAGTGATTTTCCATTACATTTTTATATTCCATGTTTAATTATCTTAAAGTCAATAATGATATTTGAGTTCCTTGTAACCATTAACCTTATAATTTAAGTTACATTCCTAACTATAAACAGAAGAATCTCATCTAATGAAAATATATAAAGAAGTCATTTTAGTTTATTCTCTTTTATTTTCTTACCTATTTTATACTATTAGTTATATTTTATAATACTATTAGTTATATTTCTTAACCATTAATAAAACAACTAACTTACGATTAATATAGTTGTAGTATTAATTTCAATTATATGATATTTTTAAGTTCTAAGTTTAAAAGCTTTATATTGTGAATTAACTAATAAAAAAATATCCATCCCATGCAAATATTAAATATAAAAAAATTATAATTAAACAAAAATTTAAAAGTGAAATAAATGGAAAGTTAGCTATTGCTCTTTATCCTCTAAAGTGTATTCTTCTCATCCTTTTTTTTTTCACTTTAGAGGAGTGAAATCCCTATTTTAGAGAGCAAATTCTGATAGGTAATAATAGCATCCGATCTCATGTAACAATAATGTAAAATTACTTTCCAACTCTAATGTTAGCTTATATACAATCTGATTTAATTTTTGTTTCTTATATTTTTTATCCTATGTGTTGAAGTATACGATTTCTCCAAGCATGCCTTATACCATAATATTAAAAAATAAAAAATAAACTTATAAACCTATAGTTTTAGTTAAAGGAAAAATCTCTATATTTTGTGGTGGTTGGTTGTACATTTCTAATTTCTTGACATTGACCAGGATCCGGTAAAAAAAATTAAACTTTGTATTTTGTTAACCTTTAAATGAGTAGAAAAAAAAAGGAATTAAGGGTAAATATTGTTCTTGTATTCTCTCTGAAAAGAGAATCAAGTTCCAGTATGAACGTTCATAGGACTAAGTCAAAGTAGGAAACAACTTGTCTTAGCAGGGATAAACATAAAACCAAGTTACTGTCTGAGGCACCAATCTTCTATAGTCATTAGTCAAGTCTTCTCCCTACTGTGTCTCTCCATAGATCTTTACGGAGTGCTAATCTTCACCTTGTAAACTATTGCTCTTGGAAGTGAAGAGTTATGGAGAATGAAAACCACAACTCTAAGCAGAAGCAGGAGCTTGAAGTATCTGATATCCTCAGGAAATCTGTTAGGGTCTATTTAAGAAATCCCAATTTCATCATCTTCACCTTTCTCACTTCTCTTCCTCTCTTTTGTATCATGGTTTACTTTGAAATTTACCTCCAAGAAATCCTGGTTGAAACCTGCAATATTTTAAACCTGTCATATGGTCACTTGACTCGCTATGACAGCTGCCTAGATCTTATCAACAGATTCAACAAGGATTATTTACTGAAGCTGATTTTTGTTGGTTTCATTTACATGGTGCCTCTGTATGTCTCAGAGTTTGTCTCTGCAGCTGTTACGGTAGATTTGGCTTCAAAGATGCATTCAAGAGAGAAGAAAATGACTCTGAAGGAGATGTTTGAGACACCCTTTCACCTATCAAGATTGAGAGCCTCATTTGTTACTTCTATCTATGTTCTCTTCTTGACAACTACTCACCAGCTTGGATTACTGTGGATAGTCCTAAATTATCATGTTTTCTTGAAAGACATAAGTTTTTACATGTTGCTCGCAATAATTTGCAGCATAGCATTTGCAAAGGTATTAAGGATTTACTTGGAGGGGAGTGCTATGTGGAACATGAGTATTGTGATCTCAGTGTTGGAGGGTATATATGGTGTTGATGCGTTAGCTGTTTCGGCATATTTCAGCAGAGGCAACCGCAGGAGGGGGCTCTTTCTGATGCTGATTTTCTTTGCTTGGGGACATCTTGTGAGGCTTTCATGCTATCTTATCGGAGGCTATGAGCAAGGGAATGCAATTTTTGTACAAGTTGGCTTGTCTTGCATGGTCAATCCGCTGAAATGGGTGGTTTGCATGATCTATTTTCATGATTGCAAGGAGAGGAAATTGGAAAAGAAAACCGATGAGGAATCAGGTAAGGATGTTAAGAATGGTTCATGAATGAAAACGGCTATGAACAAAAATAAGGGTGTCAATTTGAGTTCATAACATAAGTAGAATTAAAATAGGCATAGCTAACTGGTTCTGCAGCCTTTTATGACAATTAGTCACTGAATTTTATCTTCTACTGTACTATGATTGTATGATTTTAATCACAGTACTATAAGAAGATTTTCTATTCCATAGTGATAAGTCATTTACGAAATAAAATATATATCAGCATCTTGTTAGTGCTTCCCTGTGAAAGTATGGAGTATCGAGGAGAAGAAACTAGCATTACTCCATCAAAAGCAAGTTTTTCTACGTGTCCACCAACATTACAGGAGCCAATTTCTGAATGGTATGTAATTTACCAGATCCCCACATTCCCATTTTTCCTCATCATTATCTTTAACGGAAAAAACTGAGTATGCATAGATATATGATATTCTAAGAAGAAAGGTTACATCATGGTTGAAGGTAGCAAAGCATTACCCTAGTTATTTTTGTCTATGCTGCAGTGTTTCCCTGCTTTTAAAGTAAATGGTGTGTTCCTTTAATTAATGAAGACAAAAAGGTTTTAAATTTTGGACATCAAATTGATAGTGATCAGCATTCAAAATTGATTTAATCATGCCAATGGATTGGTTCCCAACTCATTAATACGAATATAGAGATAGATCATAGAACATGTAGATTTTGGTTTGATGATGATAATTGCCATCATTTTAAACTCCATTTAGGACTGCCCAGACTTTCAATCACATTGCTAATTTTAATCAATCAGAGTAGTTCACTCAGTTGATTTTCGTATTGATAGAACCAATAACGCCAAATGTATTCAAGACACTAGAAACAATAATTTGCATTAAACAAAATTTTTCTTAACAGATAGTTATAGTTCCACATTGTGAAATGTGTTTATGAGGAAAGTTAATGACAACTGAATCCATCAACTCTATCATTATCACCTAGAACTCATTTCAAGAAATAAACCTTACTCTTCAATGCCAAATTCAACCTGACTTATTTCATGGCTCATTGATAGAATGGACCAATGTTGGACTTCTACAACAGCCAAGTGAGCTCTTTCAAAGCTTTTTAAAATCTTTTTTAATTTGCTTTAGGACCAATCTTCCTCTTTGCAAATGATGGCAAACAGAAAGCTGCTGTATGAATCTGGAATTAAAGGCAAAGATGGATAATTGGATGATAAGAACTAGCAGTTCAGGAAAGAGATGAAAGAATGCAAAATCTCAAACAGAAGGTGGTTGGAGCAGCATACCTCAGAGTTGTAAAACTTCAATGGTCTTGCTGACTTCTGACATTCATTTTCATTCAGGGGATTCACTGGATGCTTGAAATCAACAGGTGGTCCCTCCGTTGAGCAAAGCATAAAACCAATCATCCCACTGAAATGAAAAATAAATACAACATAAAATAGATAATCATATACTTTACTTTCTCCATCCCTATACAAATAACCTGAAAATACAAACCTTGGATATGTAGGAACAGTAGTCCAAGCATAGTTAACAGATCCTTTGAAAATCTGGCGACAATTTGCCACGATGTCCTCAATTATATCCATATGAAGCCATATGCTTTCTGCCTGAGTACACAAAACTCCTCCTGGACGAAGAGCCTTTGCAACCGATGCGAAGAAGGGCTTTTCAAATAGCTCCTGAGCAGGACCTTGAGGATGCCAAATGTAACATCCCTTTATCACACAGTTTTATTTTTATATCATCACAGAAGAGAAGGAAAAATAATATGGTATACCAATAGGGTCGGATGAATCTACTATAATGGCATCATACATTCCTTCTGGAACATTTTTCAGAAACGCAACTCCTAGACCATTGTTAGAAAATCCTTCATTAGATAATTTCTTCAACAAGAATAAAATATTTAAGAAAAAAAATAATAGAATCGTACCATCACCAACAGTAAGCGTCACACGAGGATCCTCATACCCTACAGCTACATCAGGGAAATATTGTTTGGAAACCTGCACGTCTTAAATTAGATACGAAACATATACTGCTACTTGAAATCTACGAGCACTAAGTTTTTTGCCAACTAAAAAAGAATAGAACAATTATAACTAATTTCCTTAAGTGTAAAAACTTCTCAGAATTATGTTGAGACCCAAACAAATATTTTTTGAATTGGACACTTTACTGATACAAGTCAAACACATGTCAGAATCGGATACTGTTGGACACAGGGACACATCATTTAAGAGACATGTCCGAGCTTCATAAGCTATAACTAACTTCCTTCAGTAAAATCTCATTCAAACCAAGAAAATCTAGATATAAATATAACTGTGTGCAAGTGACATAATAGCCTGCCAGCAACATATTTTAGCTTTGGTCAGAGAATGGAAAGAAGATTGTAAAATTTAGTATGCCTTACATCAACAACCATACTGTCAATTTCACAAATGTCTATCTTTTCAACTGAAGAATGGCGTGCTATTTCTCGGAGGACCCCTCCATCACCTCCTCCAATAACCAAAACCTAAACATGAAAAATAAAAGGAGAATAAGTATAAAAGTTTGACGAGTAAACATTCAATCTTGACATATAACAAAAACAAGTAATACCTTTTTGGGGTTTGGAATAGAGCAAAGAGGAAGATGAGTGATCATTTCTTGGTAGGCACATTCGTCTCTTTCAGTTAACTGGATTACTCCGTCCAAAACAAGAACCTTGCCATACGTTGATGACTACAAAAGACATCACAGCAGTGCATTAAAAAAGGGGAAATTGTAAAGTAACTTCATAATTTACTGGAGCCTCATGTACCTGGAAGACCATGATATTTTGGTATTCAGACTTTCCTTGAAACAAAATTTTTTCCACCTTCAAGGAGTGAGCCTCTCCTGCAAAAGCACAACCATACTTAATTATTGAGTATTATTACAAAAGGAAAAACCAACTATTCTGAGTTTATCTGAAAAAGACCTATTACTGTGTGCTTATATTTCTAGGATTTTGACATTGCATTGGTTTCAGAAAAAATTAATGTCATAAGATGTACTCAAAAGTATTATTCATGGGACATGAAAAGTTATTAGAATAACTACCTAAGTTACTATCTCTCCCTATCACGTTAGTAAATCTCATACTCCTCTTAGCTGTAAAATTTAATGTACAAATTACATTTCTCTAAGAAAAATAAGAAGATTCTTTTTCCTTTCCAAGGTAGGCATGAACTTTACTAGCAGTTGCATCTCAGTTATTTAAAAGTAAGTTTTTACTCCTCAAGTACGTAGAAGAAAAGTTGGAACAGATCAAAGAACTGAGAAAGTTTAATCCCAAAAATATTATAGGTAATGTGATTAAAACGGGAAGAAGAGTCTTAAGGACAGAGATTAGTTCTTTTATGTGATTGCATACAGTATCTGCCTATTCAAATTTATAAAGTATTTGTTTTTTATCATTCCTTTTTCAATATACACATCCGTTTATGCAAATAACCATGCATCAAATAAAAGGACTAGAATAAATACTTTTTGTACGAATCTAGCACTTTTAAAGCAAGAGATGCCCTTAGAAAAACTAGCACAAAATTAAAGGGATGATTGGAGCAACTGATATTGCAATAAAATTAAAGCAAATACATATAATATTAATAAGCAATGAAATTGCTAAAATCAACTCCATTGATTGTTTAGTAATGCTTATGAAATTTTTGTCCTTCTAAAGTGCATGCTCAATTTAGAGGTATTAATTTAATACAACAATCATTTACGCTTTTTGAAAACAAAAACCTGAAGATCTTACAGGATGAGCATTGAGCAGAGAAAGTTCCAAAGAGGCAACACCATAGATAATAGCCACTCAACTTCTAAGGGGACTTCACTCCAACACATTTAAAAGTGAAATTTATTATATTCCCATAAATTTCATATTAGCTCGCTGATGATCAACTTTTAGTCTTAAAATATTGCTAGAAAATGTAGCAGAATTGGCTCAGCGCCACTGTTAGCTGATCTACCAAATATTCAGATGTCAAAATAAAAAACAAAAACCAGAATTAAACAAAGCATGCCGGTATATAAGGTGTATTAAAAAGGTATATAAAGAATCAATTATAAACAAAAAACCACAGAAAAGTTCCATTGTTCCACGAGAGAAAGTGTAAGAATCTTGAAATATAGAGATATTTACACACTTGCTTGTTCTGTGGCACATGACAAGGAGCTATTAAGTAACATGGCCATCGTAAACAAGTAAAACCAGAAAAACAAACCCATCAGACAACTAAATTGGATAGAAATCAAGAAAATACGTCTCAACCGTAAAAGTGAAATCCAAATCTGTTAGCACAGAGACAAACCCCATTAGAGAAGGAACCCATAAAAAAAATTGATACAATACAATTTAACTTTTCTACACGCACAAACCAACAAGTAAAAAAAAGGATAAAATTCATTTCCCGGTGACAAAACGCAAGGAAAAGGCACAACTTTTGGAAGAAACAAACAAAAGGGTATGGTAAAAAGAGAACTAACCAGGCCACATTGAACTGATTTCAGAGAACCAGCCAGGAATCACAGACGATAAACCATTACCCTGTGGGTCTTTGCCACCCTCCGTATCCATGGAAACAGAGACCCCATTTTCTTCATCGTCTCTCTGCCTCTTCACCGGAGACTCAACAACGCTCTCATCCGCCATGGCTTAATCCCTCTCTCTCGCTCTCTCTCGGTGACGACAAATTTTGAAGTAGCACTCTGTTTGGCTAATCTCGGCTTCTTGAGATATTATTGGGGAAACGGAATAGCATAAAGCGCAAAGGGAGTGGGCCACGTGGGAATATAGAAAGGAATCTGCTTTTGAGGGGTGTGTTTGAAAAGTGCGATGGTTTGGTATCGGTGTTTTGAGGGAAGTTTAATATCTTGCCAAACACTGCCTTAGGATATGCATGTTACGTGTTGTTTCTTGTCAAGTACATATGAAAGTGACGGGAGTCACACACAATTTGGAATTAGGGTACTTCCTTTGTGTTTGTAACGCTAGTTTCACCATATCTTTGTCTCCCAACTTAGTGCTTATCCTTTCATTTGATACGACAAAAAATAAAATTACAAAATATTCTTCTTTTTCACGATTTTGAAATCAATCCAACTTTAACTTTTATGTTCCTCTTTGATTTTATTTTTCAAAAGTTGTAATTTACAAAATTAAAAACTGTTTTATTTTTATGATGATATATACATGTAGTATGTTTTAATCTTTCATTTATTTAAGGTCGTATTTATTTAAAATAACAACTTTTTAAAGATTATTTTTTAGAAACTGAATTGCTACACATTTATCATTTCAGGGCTTACATATTAAAAATAAAAGAAAAATGACGAAGTGA